ACGCGAGGGCACCGTCATCGTCATCGGCGTGATCAGCATCGGCGCCGTTATTGGCTTCGCCGTTGTCATCGTCATCATCGCCACCATCATCGCGACTATCAGAATCGTGTCTACCATTGTCGACGTCGCCATGATTCCGCGCCCGCCCAGCGGTCAGCGCCACCGCGGTCGCGTCGGTCGCGCCAAACTCGCTGGCCGCTGTGCGCGCGAGCATGCGCGGGCTAGCGCGGCCGCAGGGATGCACCAGTCAGCACCAAACACTCATCGCAATCGTCGCCGCATGGGTTCTAAAAACCAAGTTGCGGGTGGGTGGGTGGACGACTGCGCGAGCAGTGGAGTTGACAATTCCAAGTTTTTCACAAGTAATTTCACCACGCAGATCTCACCACGTATATTCTCCTTTTTCAAAAAAGAGAATCGACTCTACCCCCGCGGGCGTTATCCGCCCTCAGTTCGGGTATGGAAATCATTTACGATTCTGACCACATGTCCATCCTAAGCATGAGTTTACATTTTCCCAGGGGGACCGGTATCGACCCCCCTGGGGTTCCCTTGTAAAAAACGATACGCGGGGACATTTTTTCTCTAACATAAGATTTTTTCGCGAATCCCATGCAAAAAAACGGGACGAAGTGCACGCGCGCGCCGTCGCGCGCGCATGCCGGAATCCTCCAAAAACCTTCGGAGTCGGAAGGACTTCGCAATCGAGCTTCCGAAAAAAAACATGCCAAAAACACAAGGTTCCGCAACACTGATTTACTAAAAAACCTTACGCGCGAGCTCTTGCGAAAGTTAAAAAAAAATAGTTTTTTTTTTTTTTTTTTTAAAAATATTTTCACAACATGCTACCAAACGGGCTTCGCGCGCGCATGTCGAAATCTGTCGAACGCCCTGGCGCGCGTGCCGTCGCGAGAATCCTCTGCCAAAAACGGGACGAAGTGCAGACGCGCGCGTCGTCGCGCGCGTATGCCGAAATCCTTCAAAACCCATCGGCTTCGGAAGGATTTCAACATCGTGTGTCCAAGAAACCTACAAAAACACAAGGTTTCGCAACACGGGCATTCAACAAAAGCGTTCTCCCGCGCTCTTGCGTCGTCGTCGTCGTCGTCGCCGTCGTCGCCGTCCTCCCTCCTCCCGCGTCGTCGTCGTCGTCGCCTACGTCGTCCTCTGTCTTTCCTCGTGTTCGTCGTCGTCGCCCTCTTTGGCGTCGCGGTCGTTACCGTCGTCCTTGTCGCCGTGGTCGGCCTTCCTCCTCCTCCCTCGTCGTCGTCGTCGTCGTCGTCGTCGTCCGTCGTCGGCGTCTCGTCGTCGTCCCTCCTATTTCGCCGCCGTCGTCGTCGTCGTCGTTGTCGTCGTCGTTTTCCCTCCTCCCTCGTCGTTGTTGTCGTCGACGTCGCCGTCCTTCCTCCTTCTTCGTCGTTCGCGTCGTCGCCGTCCTCCTTCCTCCCTCGTCGTTGTCGCCGTTGTCGTCGTTGTCGCCGAACGGGCTTCGCGCGAATGCGCATGTCGAAATCGTTCGAACGCCTTTGCGCGCTTGCTGGGGTGGCACGATCCGTGTCAGATATTACCATGCGAGCCACTCTCGCGCGTCTGCCGCGCGCGCATGTCGAATTCCTTCCAAAACCTTTCTCACTGACCCGAAGACGCCGTCATCGTCGTCGGCGTGATCAGCATCGGCGCCGTCACTGGCTGCCCCGTCGTCGCTGTCAACATCGTCACCAGCATCGCTACTATCATCATTGTGTCTACCGTTGTCGGCGTTGCCATGATACCGCGCCCGCCCAAGTCGCCAACTCGCACTGAAATGCCCGCTGGGATGCGCCGACCGGTCAGCGCCACCGCGTTCGCGTCGGTCGCGCCAAACTAGCTGGCCGCTGCGCGCGCGAGCATGCGCAGGCTCGCGCGGCCGCAGACATGTACCAGCCAACACCCAGCACTCATCGCAATCGTTCCCGCATGGGTTTTGCAAACCAAGTTGCGGGGGGGTGGGATGATTGCGCGAGCAGTGGGGTTGACAACTTCAAGTTCGGCAAGCGAATTGCTCACCACATAGGTTCCTCACCACGCAGGTTGCGTACCACATAGATTCTCCTAGGTTCTACCACCCTCCCCCCCCTGACTGAAAGACCCCCCTTTTCTAATTGCAATTTACGTACGATTTTGCCCCATCGTCCATCCTAACTGTGAGTTCGTACGATCCCAGCCAAACCGGTATCGACCCCCCTTCGGCCCCCTTCGGAAAAATATTCAATGCGCGCACACCCGCTTATTAAAAATCAGAAGTGCTCAACATTCCCTTGCAACAAATGGGACGAAGTGCGCACGCGCGCGTCGTCGAGCGCGCATGCCGAAATCCTTCAAAAACACTCGGTTTCGGAAGGATTTCAAAATCGACCTTCCAACAAAACCATTCAAAAACACATGGTTTCGCAACGCTGGTTCCCAAAAAAAACTTACGCGCGCGCTCTTGCGAACTCTTAAGAAAATCACAGGTTTTCATGATTTTCTGAAAATTCTTCCAAACGGGCTTCGCGCGCGCGCATGTCGAGATCGTTCGAACGCCCATGCGCGCGTGCCGTCGCGAGAATCCTTTTGCAAACAACGGGGCAAAGTGCACGCGCGCGCGTCGTCGCGCGCGCATGCTGAAATCCTTGAAGAACAATCGGTTTCGGACGGATTTCAAAATCGAGTGTGCAAAAAACGCACCCAAACAGGGGTTCGCAACACGGATTTTCTACAAAAGCGTGCGCGCGGGTTCTTGCGTCGTCGTCGTCATCGTCGCCGTCCTCCCTCGTCCCCTGTCGTTGTCGTCGTCGTCGCCGTGGTCTTCTTTTCTCCTCCCTCGTCGTCGTCGTCGTCCGTCGTTGGCGTCTCGTCGTCGTCCCTCCTATTTCGTCGCCGTCGTCGTCGTCGTCTTCCCTCCTCCCTCGTCGTTGTCGTCGGCGTCGCCATCCTCCCTCCTTTTTCGTCGTTCGCGTCGTCGCCTTCCTCCCTCCTCCCTCGTCGTTGTCGTCTTTGTCGCCGTCGTCGTCGTCCTCCCTCCTCCCTCGTCGTCGTCGTCTTCGTTGGCGAAGTCGTCGTCTTCGTCGTCGTCGTCGTCGGCGTCGGCGTCGTCGTCGTCGTCGTCTGCGTCGTAGGCGTCGTCGCCGTCGGCGTTGTCATCGTCGTCGTCGGCGTCGGCGTCGTTGTCGTCGTCGTCGGTGTCGTTGTCGTCGTCGTCGTCGAAGGCACCTACTGTCACGGTCTCAAGAGGTCTTGCGACCAAGTTGCGGGTGGGAGGGTGGTATGTTTGCACGAGCAGTGGAGAGGACAGCTTCAACACAGTCAAAGTGAATTGCACCACATATTTTGCACCACATGCATTGCCCCACATACTTTGCGCAACGTTGATTGCTAGACACAGACTGCTTGGGGTCCACGCTGGCTATCACGTTTACGGAAGTAACTGATTCTGACCTCTCGGGGCTCTCTTGGGGGGCTTCTTGGAGCCCCAGGGTTCTTGAAGGTTTCTCAGGCCGTCTGGAGGCCATCTTGGGCATCTTTGGGCGATCTCTGAGCGACTCGGGGCCCACTTGGGCCGTCTTTGGGGCCTGTTGGGTTCCTCTTGGTCCGCTTGGGAGCCCTCTTGCGTCCTGGACGGTCGCGCGGGGAACCCCCGAGAGCGCACCAGAGGGCCCAGAAGTCTGGGCTGCATTACAACTTTCAGCACGGTGAACTCGAGGAGACCTGAAGACATTCCGCTTCGTGCTTCGGGGCACGGTGGCGGATATGTAGACACGATGCGCTTCGTTGGCGGTGGCTGTCTGGGGCCTCTGCTGGTGCCTCTCTCTCGGGGTCTCTCATGCTCCTCACGGGGCATCCGCGGGCATCCTGGGTCGTCCCGAGCGGCTTCTGAGGGCTGCCCTGGCGGCCTCACGTGGCCCTCTCTGCTTCCTGGTGTTAAATCGGGCCTGTCTCTCTACAGGAGGGAAATCCAAAAATAGTAAAAAAATCATACGGGGACGATTGTTCGACTATTTTTGGCTATTTTTTGGCGATGTTTTGCAAATCTGTTTTATGTGTCCTCCAAAATCCGCCTGTACGGGGGACATGCCCGACCCAATCAATCCCAGTGAGCCTGCGACGCCCGTTCTCGAGGGTGTGATTCTTGGCCAGGCGGGGAAGGGTTGAGCACCGAGGAGAGGAATCTCCCACGCCTGGTGAGACCCCGCTGGGCTCCCGGCCTTCACATGGGGCCGGAGCAGATGGTGTCGGAGGATGCCGCCGCGTCGCCGCTGCATCGGCGATGCGGCTCGATGCGGAGCCCGATTTCCTCCACTAGGGGAACGAACAATGACATAAACATAAACTCGGAGATCCGCGCGGATTTCTCGGATCCGCGCTGGGGCCCCCTGCCAGCGCCTCTGGCGCCGCCCCTGGCGCGCTCCGCGCGCCAGGAAGGGGGGTCCAGCCTCGATCCGAGAAATCCGCGCGGGCCTTGGAGTTTTTATGTTCATGTCACTGTTCGTTTCCCTATCCAAGCCGACGTCGCCGATTCATCGCCGACGCCACCGATGCATCGCCGGTGCATCGGCAATGCGGCGCGATCTTTCGACCCCGTCGATCTCGAGCAAGCTTCCACGGGTCGAGAGGAGGCGCGAACGTGAGCGCAAGCATGGTTTTCGGGCCCGTGGATTAGCAACGGCTCCAGTTTCCACAAGCAGGGCTGGACCTCAACGCTGTTTTGCTGGACTTCGGCTGTGTTATGTTTTTCGTTATGGCAGGAAGGTGCGGGAAAACAGGTAGAGCAAAGCGAAAAACATAACGAAAAGAAAACCAACAATAACGTTTAGGTTCAGCCCTGTCCACAAGACCGACGCGCTCTGTCGCCAAATCAGGCGGCACTGACTTCATGTTTTGGGGGTACTTGCCCCGATAATCAGGCGGCACTGGCTTCATGTTTTGGGGGTACTTGCCCCGACCCGTGGATCCGCAATCCATGTCAGCTTGTGCCCGGGAAGGGATCTGCGGATTCTGTTCGTGATGTTAGACGAGGTGACAGACTTCAGCGATCAGCTTCCCGACGACACGAAAAAGGCCTTGAAGCAGGGCTTGGCTGGTGGCCTGCTTAACTTCCCGATCTTTTCGACCATCCTGCAAAATGCAGGCGAGCTGACCGAATACAGGCCCCGCCAGGCGAACCTCCTAGCGGCGCAGGTGGAGTACCAGGCCCGTGAGGCGTCCGCGAACCTCACGGACTTGCTAGGCTGAGTGGCCCCTGTCGCAGGAGGAGGAGGAAGAGGAGGAGGAGAGGTCCTCGAGAATCGGCTTCTGGAAGGGCCGTATTTTGATTTGCCCTGGTCAGAGTTTCTCGGCAGCCTCGCGCCTCAGGGCATGACATATTCCAAGTCGGGCGTCAATGTTGCGTCTGCCATAACAGTCCAGCACGGCTCTCAGGCTCGTTCTGTTTGGCTCAGCTGTTCGCCAGGCCCGTCGGCGTAAACGAAAATGCATACTCTGGGCCACGTGCGTGCTTTTCTATGCTGGATTGGCCTGTGTTGCTTTTCTGTGTTGGATTGGCCTTTGCTGGGGTCTGAGCAATCTCACTTTTCAGAGATGCTCGTGCGAAGTCTGTCTCACCCTGCCCGTAGGGCTCTGAAACATGTGAACATCTCGCGCTCAGCCCCGAACCGAGCGCGGACACACAGATGCAAGTGCGACGGTGCGCCGACAAAAGAACCCCATATTGCTCGGGTTTCTTGTGCATGGTTCCTGCTTTGAGGTGCCTCCCTTCTTTCTTTCGCGACCTTCGGGCATGACAGTCTGACATACAATCGGCGTCTACCGTTCAACGCTCCCTCTATTGTCAAACGTGCAATCTGCCGCCATCAAATCTATGATTTCCGTTGGCCATAGGAGCCCCGACCGCGAGTTTTTTCGATCGCCCATCGTGTCCGACCGTGAGCCCTTGGCCATAGTGCCCCGACCGCTGGTGCGTCTGGTCGCACTTCGATACTGCCCCGAGGATATCCCCCACAAGGTTGCTTCGGCGGCGCGCCCCGGGGGCGGGAAGCGAGAGGGGGCTGGACTTCTCAGAAGGCTCGGAAGTCCACCGGCCTTATGAGAAGTTCTCTAAGCCGTCCCCGAAGACACAGAAGGCCTCCCAGAATGCCAGAGGCCTTCCGAGAAGTCCCGCCGCCGTCTGAGAAGGCCTTTTCCTTCTCATTTCCCCCCCTCGTTCGCCACCGATTGCTGCCACGGGGTTCCTGGCATTCTATCGCGACCGCGGGTGTACGGTTCCGTTCGTAGTCCCGAACGCTGGAATTCTTGGCCGTGTCGCCCGTCTGACCTCAGCGTCCCATCCACTGGTTCTGGCCACTTTGGGGGGGCTCTGCGTCCCGGTATTTTGCATGGTGTGCTCGCCTGGTGGGCCAGGAGCCTGGCGCCACTTCCTTTCGTGAAGGAAAGCAATGCGCTCCTACTCGCCGTCGCGGCCTATTCGGGGGCCGCTGTATGGCCACCGCCCCTACCCGCGTACCTGGTGCCAGACCAGCTTGTTTGTGGGTGTGATGTACAAACAATGTGTGCCCAGGGGATGCAGTTTTTTTACACACAACCCCCGCTCCGCGGTCTCGTGCCCGACCAGCTTGGGTGTGGGGGTTGTGTACGAAAATCGCGCCCCCACCTATCCCTGCCCCCCCCCTCTTCCAGCACAGGCCACGAGTGGCGCCGCAAGAGCTCCATGTCATGGAGTGCTGCTATCGTGGCGAGCTGAGTCGGGCAGGTGCATTGGCCGTCGCAGTCGCATGGGGTGGCTCCATCACTGAGGCAGTTTGCGCCCAACCATGGTTCGCCCTGCAGTGAACTGGAGTGACCCTGCACCGCATAGCAGCCCAGCAGTGGGGAGGGGGCGGGTGCGCGGGACGGGTGCCCATCCCTCCGCGCCCCCTGCTCAGGGCGCCACTTGCTCCCCTCCCCCACGACTTCGTCCCCCTCCTCGCCCCCTGGTCCTCTTCGCTCCCCCTCGCCCTTCCCCCTCGCTTTGTGGACGACGATCAATGGAGAAGAAGCGTGTTGCAACATTTTTCCAGATGTTTGAGAGATGTTTTCAACACGTCCTAAACATGTAAAACGCATGTGTTTTAAACATTTTTCGAGCAGTCTCCCGACATATGCGAAACCCATATTTGATTCAATGATCGGCTTGTTAGGGTGTCCATTGCCATGGCATCCACAGCCCTCGCCCCCCTCCCCCCCCCGCGGGCCAGGCCCGGGCCGCGTCCCTCGTCTGCTGGCAGTGGCTGGGCCCGCTGCTGGCCGTGGTGGACCCCAGCCTCGACGCCGCGGGCGGGGCAGGCCCCCCCCGCGGCGGGAACAGGCGGAGGGAGGGGGAGGGGGGACGAGGGAGATCAGGAGAAGAACGAGGGAGATGGAGGAGGAGGAGGAGGAGGAGGAGGAGGAGGAGGAGGAGGAGGAGAGGAGGAGGAGGAGGAGGAGGAGGAGGAGGAGGAGGAGAGGAGGGGGGAGGGGGAGGAGGGGGAGAAGGGGGAGGAGGGGAGGAGGAGGAGGAGGAGGAGGAGAAGGAGGAGGAGGAGGAGGAGGAGGAGGGAGGTGAGAGGAGGAGGAGGAGGAGGAGGAGGAGGGAGGAGGAGGAGGAGGAGGAGGAGGAGGAGGAGGGGGAGGAGCAGGAAAGGGGGAGGAGCAGGAGGACTAGGAGGAGGAGGAGGAGGAGGAGGAGGAGGACGAGGAGGAGGAGGGGGAGGGGGAGGAGGAGGGAAATCTGCACCATCGCCGTGGAGCTCGTCCGGATCAGGTATACATCGGCGCTCCGAAAGTTTATTCCGATTTGAGAGGCACGGCGCCGCGCGAATGCAGCGCAAACGCTGTGCTGGAAGGGCGCGGCAACGCATGCCCCCTGGACAGGCGAGAGCAGTCGCCCCCCCGTGCGAACCCCGATCCCGCGTGGGGCGCGTTCCTGTTGACAAGGGCTCACCCTGGAAACCGTTTCTTGCGCAGGAAGTCCTGGGCGGTCTGCCCATCGGCGGCTCCTTCGGACGAGTTCCGGAACCACCGTTCTAGGCGGTTTGCCCACGTTCGGTTTCTTCGGTTTCTTCGGAGTGGGCCCGAAGACCTCGAGAACGATGTTTTTTTGCAAGGGGTCCTACGCGGTTTGCACATCTTCGGGTCGTTCGAACCGGACCCGAAATTTTTGTTTGCACAAGTCCTACGGGATTTGGCCGCTTTCAGGTCGGCAGGTCATTTTTTCGGGTCGTCGCATGACCGAAACCAAAAGCTTTTTTCCGAAGAGGTCCTATGACGCTTCCTCATTTTCGGGTCAGCACACCGTTTGGGATTCAAAATTCTAAATTGCGAAGGGGAACCCGATCCCGCGACCTCGGGCGGGGGTTAGGCTCTGCCCTTGCATTGTACTGGGCCCCTCCAGCCAAACGGGGTGCTGGGCTGCCCATCGGCGCGCCGACTCTGCCCTCGCGACATCGCCCCCATCCGCCCTCGGGCCCCGCGAGTCCTGTCCTGCGCGCGCCACCCCAGATGGCCGCGGCGAGCACGGTGGCGAAATTGGGGAAACTTTCGAATCGGCACAGTAGAGAGCGGACGCGAGTTGACAAACCGTCGCGCCGCCTGCAGGAAGAGGGAGATCTGCCAGGAAGCGCGCTCGCACGCATCCCGCCCACTCGTCAGAATCGTGGGTGGTGGGATGCTCCAAGCGCGCGCTCACGCGCATGCGGGCGGGAGTCTTGCGCGGGGAAGTTGCGTCGAATCGACCTGTGCATCGCTCCGCGATTGGTGGCGAAGGCGGTTGCGAAATGCGCAGCAGAAAATCCGACAGGATCCCTCCAGAAACCGTAAGAATTCCTGCACGAATAAACGTTCCATTCATGATGAAGCCCCATCGGAATCAGAAGGATTTCCTGTGGGTTCCGAAGGAATCCTCCGAAATACTCAAGAGAAGCCTTCCGGCGTCCACAGGGGGCCCTCAAGATCCTGCAAGGACTTCTCCCTTGATTCCTTCGGGGGCCCTGGTCTTTGGGATTCCCTGCGAATTCTTCTGGACTCCTGAAGAGGCCTGGAGGATTCATGGAAAATTCAGTAGGCATCCGGGCGAAATCTTTTGAACGATGCAAGGAATCGTTTGGATTATGTCGATGAACGATGCAAGGAATCGTTTGGACTATGTCGAATAGTTCGGGGGATCCTAGGGGAACCTTCTTCCAATCCTTATGGCCAGTGTAAAAGAGCCTTAGGATTCCTGAAGGATTCCCCGGGGCTCTGGAGGAGTCGCAATCACAAGGATGTCCTGACACTTGTTCAGGATGTCGCCAAGATTTGCTCGTGATTCCCAAAGCCGGCATCCCAATTGCAGACCCGGCCCATTGGGTACAGGAGAAGAGTCTCAGTTGGAGACCCCGCCCGCGGTGCAAAAAATTTAAAAAACGGATTGTGGGGGAGTGGGCGCCGACAGGTTCGTTAGGGAGGCGTTGGGGCCGTCTGTAGCGTTCCCTAAACAGCTAGTCTGTAAGGGCGCTCAGTACTGTGTCCAAGTGACTAACTAGTAGGCGAGTTGCTGGATTCAGAGTCGGTCGGGCGATATTGCTCCCCATGGCCTCCCGATGCCTCCCGTTGCCTTCCGTGCCCTCCCACTGCCGTCCCTATCCCGCTGCCTCTATCCCTGTCATGTGCATCCCTGTGTTATATCCTATCCCCAACCAGTTTCCCCTTATCCTCATTTTCGTAGCGCTGTGTATCTACCGCTATCCTTATCCCTTATCCCGATGTCCCATCGTGGCCCACCATCGTGACCCCCATATTGTGGCCCCCGACGCAACTTCGTAAAACCAGTCAGGCCCTGGTCTGGCGCAGTGGAGAACACTTTATGTGTGTGAACCTCCTCAAATGATTGTCAGGCGCCGCGGAGGTCGAGAAAGAGGTTGTCTAATTTGTGCTACGCCCAGTGACGAAGGAGACGCAGCCCGTCTCCTCGTTCGCCCCGTCGTTCGTTTGGCGCTTCGCTGAAATTCCGACCAGGGGTCGCTCGCGCCCGACGTTTGTCGGTTTCGGCGTTCGTTCTTGCGAAGAGGAAGAGGAGGAGAAGGAGGAGGAGGACAAGTAGTAGTAGTAGTAGTAGTAGTAGTAGTAGTAGTAGTAGTAGTAGTAGTAGTAGTAGTAGTAGTAGTAGTAGTAGTAGTAGTAGTAGTAGTAGTAGTAGTAGTAGTAGTAGTAGTAGTAGTAGTAGTAGTAGTAGTAGTAGTAGTAGTAGTAGTAGTAGTAGTAGTAGTAGTAGTAGTAGTAGTAGTAGTAGTAGTAGTAGTAGTAGTAGTAGTAGTAGTAGTAGTAGTAGTAATAGTAGTAGTAATAGTAGTCGTCGTAGTAGTAGTAGCAATGATAGTAGCAGTAGTAGTAGTAGTAGTAGTAGTAGTAGTAGTGATAGTATTAGTAGTCGTAGTAGTAGTAGTAGTAGTCGTAGTAGTAGTAGTAGTAGT